CACTTTTTATCACAAAATTAGCAACTTAAAACCACACATAATTTTTAAATTTTATTTATTAATTTTTTTATCTTTTTGAAGCAGGGTCTCCCTGTAGCCCCAGCTGGCCTGGAACTCACTGTGTAGACCAGGCTGGCCTTGAACTCACAGAGATCCGCCTGCTTCTGCCTCCCAAGTGCTGGGACTACAGGCGTGTGCCACCACGCCCGGCTGTTTTTGAGCAACTTTTAATTTTTTCAAGTCTAGGATCTGATCCTTGACCATACATTGTATTTAGTTTTGATAGCTACAATGTGTTTTGGTCATCTTTAATCTAAAACACTCTCCTAGCCAATGTTTCTTTTTTGTATGTGTGTTAGGGTGTGGACCATTCAACCCTGGGCCTCGCACAATTAAGTCTGACCTCTACCAACCTCTACCATTCAGTTTTACTCCAGCCCTGGCTTTTGTTTTTGCTTTTGTTTTGTTTTTTTTATTCCGAGTATCAAAGTTAGGGCCTTGCAAATGCTAGATTTTTTCCTGCATTTTTGCTTACATGCATGTGATGCATATGCACGTGTGTGTTTGTGTGTGTGTGTGTGTATGTGTGTATGCTTGCATGTGTATAGAGCATGTGTTTGTGTGTCTGTTGTAAATATTATCTTAGGCCAGCTTAAGCACACTTCAAGGATCAGAAGGAGCCCAGAGGCTGGTGTCAGATTGTTTTCCACCTTGTAGACTGAGGTCATGTGAACACAGACATAGCTCACTGATTCAACTAGTCTAGATGGCCAGCTTTCCCAGTGATCCCCTCTCTCAGCTGAAATTAAGACAGTCTGCCATGCCCATCCAACATTTATAAAGGCACTGCATCCAAACTTGGGTTCTCACACTTGCATGGCAAGCACTTTACCCACTGAGCCATCTCTGCAGCCACATGCTGGGAATTTTTGAAGAATAATGGGCAGGGTCAGACTTGTCTGATATTTCCTCACCAGTGGATTCAAGTTTATTCATTTTTGGCAGGCCTATCGTAGGTAAGTTGTGATAGATCCTTTTCAGTACGTCACATTATGAGGCAATTGATGTTAATTTCAATCAACTAATTATGATTATGTTTGCAAGGTTCTCCCACTTAAGTTATTCAATTTGCTTTTGCAGTTATTAATTTGTAGGAACATATTTTTAAACTATGCAAATACTCCATCATCAAACTTTTGACCACTAGTTTTAGTATCCATTGTTAATTCTTTTTTTAAGACAGGTCTCACATTGTCATTCAGGATGCCCTCAAACTCATGTCAACCTTCTTGCCTCAGCTTCCCATGTGCTGGGATTATAGCTATGAGCCACCACACCTGGGTCCTCCACTTACAAATATATTTATCCAAAGCCATTGTGGCGCACACCTTTAATCCCAGCACTCGGGAGGCAGAGGCAGGTGGATCTCTGTGAGTTCAAGGCCAGCCTCATCTACATAATGAGTTCCAGGACAGCTGGAGCTACAGGGAGACCCGGTCTCAAAAAGACCGAAAAAAAAGAATCAAATGTATTTATCCATTAGTAGTATGAACTCATAGATTCTTATTTTATTCAATTGATTAAAATCTATTACTATTATTATTTTGAGGCAGTGTCTGTGTAACCCTGGCTGGCCTGTAATTCTCTATGTAAACTAGGCTGGCCTCAAACTCCTAAGACCCACCAGCCTCTGCCTCCCAAGTGCTGGCATTAAAGGCATATACCACCACATCCAGCTGTCATCTATTTTGATTGTCTCATATTTGGTTAACGGGAGCCCCTTCAAGAGAAGCCCTCTGTCCTT